GCGACGGGCGGGCGGGGGGGCCCCTGGGGCCCGAGCGCGGCGCCAAGGGATCGTGAACTCCTCCAGGGCGTCGCCAAGGGGCCTGTCGGTGTGGTTCAAAGAGGGGGTCCTGAGGGACGGGGTCCTGAGGATGGGAGGAGGTCCAAGGGCGGATTTGCATCGTTTGGGGCATTTCGTCCTTACGATCCACCGAGCCTGGGCGCCGCCAAGAGGTCGGCGTCGCCAAGGGATCGCCAGGGGATCGGTGTCTTCGACGCTCTCCAGCATCCGGAGGCCGTTTTTTTCCCGGCCCCCGGGGGCGTCAGAAACGGTTCTGGGAGAGGAGGGTTCGGGGTTCTGGGATAGTGCGGTGACCGGCCCGTCGGGTGAGCCCGGCGTGTTTCGGGCGGTGGCGTCGAAGAGGGGGTGCGGACCAGGGGCGGGGGATCTCCCAGCCAGGGCCATGAGGTCTCCCCCATGTCATGGTTTCTTCCTCTTCTTCTTCGTCTTCTTATTCTTTGTCTTCTTCTTCTTATTGTTGTTATTATTATTCTTATTGTTATTATTTCTTTTTTCTTCTTATTCTTCCAGGGCGTGCGCTGGACCCTCCCTCATGTGCGCACGTGCCTCGGGCCATGGTGCGGTCGGTCGCTTCTTCCTGGCCGCACTACATAGTCCTCGGGAAGCCTGTCGCCGACCTATTTGCAATGCCTCGCCGAGTCCACGCCACTGTTCCCCTGAACTGGTCCCCCCCTCAATGACCCCCTTGTGAACACTGCCAACCCTCCTCCTTCCTCCTCGACGCCTTTGCCTTTGTCGCCTTTGACGCCCCTCTTCGCATTAGGGATTGGTCTGTGAAATCTGCGGAAAGTCATCATATCCTTGATGTTTCTGGCCTTCCTCATTCATGTTCCCTTCCAAAAATTTTGAGGGTATTTTTGTTACTTATCATCCTCGACGCCTTTGCCGATGCATCGGCGATACATCGGCGACTCGCCGCAATCCTCCGATCCCATCTACTCGGACCCCATCTAGGAGGCCTCTATTGCTCCCCCCTCCCTCTCGTCCACCCCGGGCGGCAGCGGCTCGGTGGGCGACGGGCGGCACGGGTCCCTCTCGGAAGCCGGAGGCGCGCGCGCGCGGAGCGTTGCCTGCCGCCCGCTGCGGCCGTCCGTCGTGTCGCCTTCGTCGTCGCCGCCGCCGCCGCCCCCGCTGCCTCGACGGTGTCCTCGACGTCGTCGTCGTCGACGTCGTCGTCGTCGTCGTCGTCGTCGTCGTTGTGGTCGTCGTCGAAGTCGCCGCCGACGTCGCGACGTTGCCGTCGCCGTCGTAGCCGTTGTCGCCGTCGCCGCCGCCGCTGCCGTCGCCGTCGCCGTCGCCGTTGCCGTCGCTGCCGCCGCCGCCAACGCCGCCGCCGTCGTCGTCGTCGTCGTCGGCGGCGGCGGCGGCGGCGGCGGCGTCGGCGTCGGCGTCGGCGTCGGCGTCGGCGTCGGCGTCGTCGTCGTCGTCGTCGTCGTCGCAGTCGCTGTCGTTGTCGCCGCCGCCGCCGCCGCCGTCCTTGTCATCGCGAGGCAAATGCCTGCAGCGTTCCCCTTCCCTGGCGCGCGCCAGGGGCGGGGCTGCAGGCGCTGCCAGGGGGCCCAGCGCCGATCCAAGAAAATCCGCGCGGAGCTCCGATTCATAACGTCTCTGATGTTTGCCTTTCCTCCTTCGTCGTCGGAAGGAGGCCGTAACGACGAGAGGCCTCCAGGAGACGCACAGAAGCACCAACTAAATGCGGACTCGCTTCCAGAAGGGCCCCCCTAAGACCCCAGAGGCAACGCAGCACAGCTTGACCCCTCGATTTAGGATGTCCCAACCCACTTCAGCCTTAATCACCAGAAAGAATTTCGAGCACCAGAAAAGTACCGACGCTCGGAGTGTCGGGCCCTGGGAGACATTCGTCCGACACTGTTTCGACATGGCTTCGACACGGTTTCGACACCGTCTCGACATCTTTCCGGGTGCTCGACACTACTTCTGGGATGTGGTCCTTGAGCACGACGGGAACAGCATGACCCTCGATCCGAGGTCGAGGCGGTCTCGAAAGGGCAACGCCCGGCGGGGATGGGCTCAGCGGGGGGGGGGACCTGTGGCCCCCCCGTCGCCCAGGGATCGCCCGACTGAGGCCCGACGGCCCACCACCCCGCGCAGGGACGTGCGGGTTCTCGCTGCCAGGGACATCGGTCGCCGATCCATCGGCGACACGCCGCCGATCTTCCAGCTCGACGGCTCGCCCCCCGAGCCGGGGCTCGAGCGCCACGGTGCTGCGGCGAGCTCGTGCACCGCTTCCGTGGCGACGCAACGCCGATGCCAGCTCGATGACTCGCCCCCCGAGCCAGGGCTCGACCGAAGCGGTGTTTCGGCGAGCTCGTGCACCGCTTCCGTTTTTCCCACACAGTGCTTGCACTTCTTTTGCATTTTCTTATCTCGAGCGAATGGTTTGCATCATCATTTTTCTTCTACGGAACTGGGCCTGACGGCCCGTCTGGCAGCTACGTGACCGCATACCGCATACATGGCACAACGTAAATCGCACAATGTGGGCTGCAATCCGTAGTTCTTGCCGCAAATGTTGCACCAAATCTATTGCACCACGTGTATTCTCCTTTCTAAAAAGAGTATAGACTCTACCCCCCCCGGACTTATCGGTTCCCCCTGGGATAGTATGATTTTTTCATATATATAATATATAATATATATATATATATTATATTCTGCACACCCGTCCATCTTGAGCATGAAAATCGTACCATCCCAGCTAGGCCGGTCCCCCCCCCCCGAGGTTCCCTTGTAGAAAACACTATGCGCTGACATCTGTTGTTCTAACATAGCACTTTTTCACGAATCCCTTGCAACAAATGAGACGAAGTGCACACGCGCGCGTCGTCGCGCGCGCATGCCGAAATCCTTCAAAAACCTTCGATGCGGGAAGGATTTCGCAATCGAGTTTCCAAAAAACATACAAACACACAGGGTTTCGCAACACAGAGTTGCAAAAAAGCTTCCGCGAAAGCTCTTGCGAAATCTTAGGAAAACCAGAGGTTTTTCAAGATTTTCGCAAAATGCTACCAAACGGGCTTCGCGCGCGCTCATGTCGAAATCTGTCGAACGCCCTTGCGCGTGTGCCGTCGCGAGAATCTCCTGCAAAAAATGAGACGAAGTGCAGACGCTCGCGTCGTCGCGCGCGTATGCCGAAAACCTTCAAAACCCATCGGTTTCGGGAGGATTTCAAAACCGTGTGTCCAAACAACCTACAAAAACACAAGGTTTCGCAACACGGATTTTCAACAAAAGCGTGCGCGCGCGCTCTTGCGTCGTCGTTGTCGTCGTCGTCGCCGTCTTCCCTCCTCCCGCGTCGTTGTCGTCGTCGTCGTCGTCGTCGTCGTCGTCGTCGTCGTCGTCGCCTACGTCGTCCTCTGTCTTTCCTCGTGTTCGTCGTCGTCGTCCTCTTTGGCGTCGTGGTCGTTTCCGTCGTCGTTGTCGCCGTGGTCGTCCTTCCTCCTCCTCCCTCGTCGTCGTCGTCGTCCGTCGTCGGCGTCTCGTCGTCGTCCCTTCTATTTCGTCGCCGTCGTCGTCGTCGTCGTTGTCGTCGTCGTCGTCTTCCCTCCTCCCTCGTCGTTGTCGTCGTCGGCGTCGCCGTCCTTCCTCCTTCTTCGTCGTTCGCGTCGTCGCCGTCCTCCCTCCTCCCTCGTCGTTGTCGTCGTTGTCGCCGTCGTCGTCCTCCCTCCTTCCTCGTTGTCTTCGTTGGCGACGTCGTCGTCGTCGTCTTCGTCGTCGTCGTCGGCGTCGGTGTCGTTGTCGTCTTCGTCGTCGTCGACGACGTCGGCGTCGTCGTCGTCGCTGCCGTCGTCGTCGTCGTCATCGTCGTTGTCGTCGGCGTCGTTGAGGTCGTCGTCGTCGGTGTCGTCGTTATCGTCGTCGTCGGCGTCGTCATCGTCGTCGTCGTCGTCATCGTCGTCGTCGTCGGCGTCGGTGTCGTCGTCGTCGTCGTCGGTGTCGTCGTCGTCGTCGTCATCATTGTCGGTGTCGTCGAAGTCGTTGGAGACGTCGTCGGTGTCGTCGTAGTCGTTGTCGGCGGCGTCGTCATCGTCGTTGTCGCTGTCGTCGTCGGCGTCGCTGTTGTTGCCAAGTGCCATGTGGTACCCACCGTCACGGTCTTGAGAGATTTTGCAAACCAAGTTGCGGGTGGGTGGGTGGGATGTTTGCGCGAGCAGTGGAGTGGACAACTCACTGCGAGCAGAAATTAATTGCACCACCTGTACTCCACCACATATATTTCGCCACGTAGATTGCAAATTATAGATAGAACCGCGTATATTGCACAGCATGTATTGCACCGCATATGTTGCACAGTATATATCGCATTCACAGATATGGAGCCACATTGTTTGTGCCGCGCATATATTACCATAAACATATTTGGGATCTACGCCGGCTTACATGGTTTCGCTTTGCAATCAGAACTAGGGCACCCGAAGACAGCACGAAGACGGAACCGGGGAACCAGGGAAGGCGAACTGGGGAACACGAGCACAGGAACTGGGGCCGAAGCGTAACGAAGACAGATAACCAGGGAACGAGGACAGCACTATAGGGACAACGAGCACATGACGAGAACAGCAAACACCTTCTGAGCTCGAGTCCCGCCCGGAGCAGGCCCCCCAACTGCTGTTCCCCCTCTCGCCATCATGCCGGCCGCGTCTCGCCCAGCCCGGCCCAGCCCCGGGAGGAGGAGGAGGACGAGGACGTGGAGGAGGAGGGGGAGGAAGAAGAGGAGGAGGAGGAGGGGGAGGAGGGGGAGGAGGAGGAGGAGGGAGAAGGAGGAGGAGGAGGTGGAGGAGGACGAGGAGGAGGAGGAGGAGGAGGAGGAGGAGGAGGAGGAGGAGGAGGAGGAGGAGGAGGAGGAGGAGAGGAGGAGGAGGAGGAGGAGGAGGAGGAGGAGGAGGTGCCCCCCCGCCTGGTGGCCTCGCCCCGCCCAGGCTGCTCTGCTGCGGTGGGCTCCGATGTACGCCCGGCGGAGCTCCAGCCCCGCCGTGGCCGTGCGGGTGGAGGCCGCCGCCGCGGTGCTCCGCCGCCGCTGTCGCGGGGGCCGCCGCCGCGGTGTTTGGCGCGGCTGCGCCGCTCTGTTTAGGAGCAAAAGAATCGGGGGCGGAAAAGAGGGGGGTGATGACTAGGGGGGGGATGGATATCCTGGCGGGGGCCATGATATTTCCGCAGATTTCATGGCGCTTCTTCTTGTTTCATGACGTCCCTGGCCCCCCCGCTGGGCCGCGCACATGCCGCCGGTCATGATTTTCACCCCCCCCTCTTGGACACCCCCCTCTTGGCCGCTCTCGAAAGAAGGACCCACATGTACATGAATCCACGCTGGTTTCGAGAGTACGCGTTGCGCAAATGTTCGTATGACGCGGCCAGTCTCACGGATCGAGGGGCCGTTTTCATGTACATAGCTGGGCGCGTACGTCTTTTGTGGGCTCCTTATCTGTCCTCGCGCGCCCGTCGGTCGTGGCCGCGGGCTCTCCGCCGTGGTTCGCCGCCGTGGGCGCCGCCGTGGGTCGCGGCCGGCCGCCGTCGCCGTGGTTGTCGAATTCGTCGCCGCGTTCTCTGCTGTCGTTGGCGTGGTCCTCGCCGTGTGTCGTCGCTGTCGTCGGCGTGGGCGCTGCCAGCCGCTGCGGGCGTCGTGGTCGTGACGTCGTCGTCTTCATCCTCCTCCGCTGCCTGCCCTTGTGATGCGCCCCCCTCCATCACGGTCATCTTCTCTTCTTCCCGCTCCTCATCGTCCCTCCCCCCAGCCCGCAGGAGATCACGGGATAAACAGTTCTCAGCGCAGCGTGGATTCGGTTCAATCTTGTTCCGTCGTGGCTGGCAGCACGACTGGCTTATCTTGGGGATGCCAAGTCCAAGCGTCCCCTTCCTCTCCAGTCTTACGATGGGGGCGGACAGCTACGCCCCCTGTTTGCCACGCTTCCCTTTCGTCCGCTTCTATAGCCAAGACGCTGACATACGGACCACTTTGGGCCCAGGAGGGATTTTGGTCGGGAAACCTGCTATATACGCTTCGCGTTGCCCCACCAGCCAATCCAAAAACGATGCCCAGGCGAGTTGCCCTGATTAGGGATGTGGAGGAAATGCAGTGGAATACTAGGCGGAGTAAGCCGTCGAACCCCAATTGGGGAACGATGGAAGGGGGAGGAGGAGGAGGAGGAGGAGGAGGAGGAGGAGGAGGAGGAGGATGAGGAGGAGGAGGAGGAGGAGGAGGAGGAGGGGGAGAGGAGAGGAGGAGGAGGAGGAGGGGAAGAGGGGGAGGAGGAGGAGGAGGAGGAGGAGGAGGAGTTGGAGGAGGAGGAGGAGGATAGGGGGAGGAGGGGGAGGAGGAGGGGGGTGATGATGATGATGATGATGATGATGATGATGGTGGTGGTGGTGTGGTGTGATGATGATGATGATGAGGATGATGAGGATGAGGATGATGATGCTGATGATGATGATGCTGATGGTGATGCTGCTGCTGATGATGATGATGATTACGATGATGATGATGATGATGATGATGATGATGATGATGATGATGATGATGATGATGATGATGATTATGATTATGATCATTATGATGATGATGGTGATAATGCTGATGATGATGCATGATGATGCTGATGATGCTGATGCTGATGCTGATGCTGATGATGATGATGATGGTGCTGATGCTGATGCTGATGATGATGCTCATGATGATGACGATGATGATGATGATGATGATATTGATGCTGATGATGCTGATGATGATGCTGATGATGATGATGATGCTGCTGCTGATGATGATGCTGATGCTGCTGCTGCTGATGATGATGATCATGATTATGATAATGATTCTGCTGCTGATGATGATGATGCAGATGGTGATGCTTATAATGATGATGCTGATTCCGCTGATGATGATGATGATGATGCTGATTCTGATGCTGATGCTGATGAGGATGATGATGATGATGATGCTGCTGGTGATGCTGATGATGATGATGCTGATGATGATGCTCAGGGTGTTGATGATGACGATGATGCTGATGATGCTGATGCTGATGATGATATTGATGCTGCTGATGATGATGATGATGCTGATGCTGATGATTATGCTGCTGATGATGATGATGTTGTTGTTGATGATGATGATGATGATGATGTCGATGCTGATGACGATGATGATGCTGTTGACCATGCTGCTGCTGATGATGATGATGATGATGATGGTGATGCTGATGATGATGCTGATGCTGATGTTGATGATGACGCTGATGATGATGATGATGATGATGCTGATGATGATGATGATGATGATGATGATGATGAAGCTGATGATGCTGATGATGATGACGATGATGATGACGACGACAACGATGATGCTGATGATGCTGATGATAATGATGATGATGATGACGATGATGTATATGATGATGCTGATGCTGATGCTGATGATGATGACGATGATGCTGCTGCTGATGATGATGATGCTGATGATGATGATGCTGATGATGATTGTGAGGTTGATGATGGTGATGCTGATGATGATGATGATGATGCTGCTGATGATGATGATGATGCTGATGATGCTGAGATGATGATGATGATGATGATGATGCTGATGATGCTGCTGATGATGATGGACGATGATGATGATGATGATGATGCTGCTGCTGATGATGATGATGATGATGATTATGCTGCTGATGATGCTGCTGTGATGATGATGAATGCTGATGATGATGATGATGATGATGATGATGATGATGATGAGATGATGATGATGACGATGATGATGAGATGATGATGATGAGAGATGATGATGATGATGATGATGATGATGATTATGATGATGAGGATGAGGAGGAGGAGGAGGAGGAGGAAGGAGGAGGAGGAGGAGGAGAGGCGGAGGGGATGCAGGAGGAGGATGCTGATGGAGGAGAGGATGAGGATGAGGATGAGATGAGGATGAGGATGGAGGAGGAGGAGGAGGAGGAGGGAGGAGGAGGAGGAGGAGGAGGAGAGGAGGCGGCGGCGGAGGAGGAGAAGGAGAGAGGAGGAGGAGGAGGAGGAGGAGGAGGAGGAGGAGGAGGAGGAGGAGGAGGAGGAGGAGGAGGAGGGGGCGGAGGGGGCGGCGGAGGCGGAGAGGAGGAGGAGGAGGAGGAGGAGGAGGGGAGGAGGAGGAGGGGGAGGGAGGAGAGAGGAGGGAGGAGGAGGAGAGGACGGGATGGAGAGGGAGGAGGAGGGAGGAGGGAGGAGGAGGAGGGAGGAGGGAGGAGGGAGGAGGGAGATGGGAGGAGGGAGGAGGGGGGAGGAGGAGGGAGGAGGGAGGAGGGAGGGGAGGGGGTGTGGAGTGGAGTGGACTCCGCTGCGCAGCAGGTTCGGGTCTTAGGAAGGCCTGGACAAACGAGCATTCGAACGCCGAGCTTGCTCAGCTCGGCTCAGAACTTTGGGATGTAACCCCCGAGCAATTCTGTCAAGGTACTCTTGCCCCGTGGCGGACTTCCTCTTACTACATGGGCCTTTAAGAGATCGCAGAGCCTTATCCGCGATGCCCCCACACTCAGTGCAAAACCAAACCTGAAGGGTCGGGTGAACATTCAGGGTATGCGTAGTGTGGGCCCAACCCCCCGCGATATGGACTCGCGGCCCCTTTATCGGCGAAAACAGGACCCCATCGACATTGTACAGCCTAGGACATTCAGATTCGACGAATTCCTGGGTGGTGGCGAGGGTCGCAGAACCAAAACACGAGAGGCAACGTCGGCCGCAGTCGGCCAGACGGTGCCTGGACATGAGGGCAGCAACAGTGGCAGCAGCGGGAGGAGGAGGAGGAGGAGGGGCGGGAGGAGGCGGGACCTCAGAGGGGCTCCCAGGGCCTCGGGCGGCGTCCCTTTCCATTCTCTCAGTCTCCTGGCTGGCCGCAATGCTGTCCAGCGTGGCTCGGATGAGCCTCATGCGGACGAGGTACGCCCTCCGCTCGGCCAGCAGGATGGGCTGGCGGACCTCGGCGGGCAGCCTGGCTCTGGCCGCCGCACAGCCCGCGAACTCGTCGGCGAGCAGGTTGCCTATGACGAGGTACCTGTTCACCTTCTGGGCGGCAACGTCCTGGGCCGTGCTGTGGGACGGCGTCCAGAGCACCGTCACCTCAGCGTGGCGGCGTGAGCTCATCAGGTCCCCGATGAGCTTCCATAGGTCGGCGTCCTCACCTGCTGGGTTCGTGTAGGCTTGGGAGTACCAGCCCGCCGCCACATATTCACAGTCCGTCACGTAGGTGAGGAACCTGGTGGTGCACCAGAGGGCGAGGTACAGGGAGTAGAGCTCTCCCCTCGCCACCACTTGGCGTGGGCCACCCAGCTGGCCGAAGACTGCACCGTGTAGGTTGATCTCGGGCAGTAGGCTGGCAACGCATACTATGGCGACTCCAATCCTCATGCAGTCGCTGATACTCGCATCTGGTCCTCCGCTGGCGTCCCCGAAGATCTCGACTGGTGACTCAGCACTCCCCGCCCCAAAGATCCCTTCGGACAGCTCGTTGATGCCCGTGAACTCAAGGACCGTGTCCTTCGGTGGGGGCGGGGTCTGGGTCCACTGGGTCGGTAGCAGCCCACGTAGCCAGAAACACTCGGTGGCGTCCGTCTGGGCCATCGCGGCTGAAACCAGAGACTCTGAGCGATCATATGGCGCGGCCTGCACGTTCTTGCTGCACTGCCAGAATCTGTGCTTGGCCGTCTCTGGTGCCTCTCGGCAGCGGTCACACATGTTGCTGCCCTTGTAGCCCTTCAATTCATCATATCGCCTCTGTCGCGTCCAGTATCCCCCTGTGGCAATATTGATCAGCAACTCAGTGAGACGCACACCGTGTGGGAGTTGCCCAACTTGTTTGATCAACAGCCGAAATGACCGATTGTCAACTCCCTGCTCGACTCCACCTCCGCAGTAGTGCTTGGCAGCCGCGGTCCATACCACCTGGGCCGCCGACTGACGTACATCCTTCAACAGCTCACGGTGTGTGTCGAGAAACTTATTGCCCGTG